CTTCATCACGCTGCTGGCACGCTGTCGCGGGCACGGGGCTGCGGGTGCCATGCGCACGCTGGCGCGGGCACGGACTGGCGCTGGGCCGGGCACTGCCGCGCTATGTGCGCGGCCAGTGACCAAGGCCGGCCCTTGCCCGACCCCCGGCGACTTTTCCGGTGACATGCATGGCATAATATCTCAACATGATAAAATAGGAATAAAAATGCTATGAAACACTAGTGGACCCCGGGTCCACGTGCATGTTACCCGGTAAGGCCTAAATGGCATGACCGAGTAGGTTAACTCCCGAACCAACATTCATAACTTGAAAAACTACTCAGGGCCGAATGTTATACATAAAAAATGATGACTATGTATGCTAGCACTTATGCCATATCTTGCATGCATGATAATTGACCTCGGTGGCTCATTTTAACATAATTTCGAGCATGATTTGACTAAGGCAATGAACTCATTTTATTCTCATATTTTTACAGCATCAATGGTATGATATTTGAGGATGATTTAACAAACATTTACAACTTAGGCATGCTTGCTACTCAATTTTCATTTTTAAGGTCATTTATTTCAAAAATTCGTAAATCACATATAATGACATGCATGGCTCGATTTTTATTCATGAAAAATCTTAAAATATCATAAAATAATTTATAAACTCAAAAATCCCGAGCTTACCTCGGTTAGAAATGGAGAAATCGAGTTAGGGCTCGAACTAGGGCTAGTCGCGGCTTTTGGGGCTTAGGTCAACTAGGAGTGCGATTTGGCTGAGCTTGGACAACTCCAAAGACTTAGAAAAATCTAAGGAGTACTTAGATGGTGCTAAGCCTCGAGAGAAAATGGCTGGAACACGAGGTGGCTGCCTTTTCTCCTTCCCCGGGGCGCGCGCGCAGGCAGCAGGGTTGGTAGCTTTGCTCTCGGTTTTCTCCTCCCTCCTCACTATTTTTCTCGAGCTCCAAATTGAGTAAGAGCTTAAAATGGACTAAGGGAGGGGTCTTAAATAGGTGTTGAGGGCGGAGCTTACTATGTTGGTCAAGGGAGCCAAATTAAGTGGATTTCACCACATCACATGCATGGGGACTTGAGGATGCTGGGGCATCTTTTAGCACGGTTTTTGGAGAGCATTTGGTGGTATTTAAAGAGTATTATACTGAGGAAAAATAGGTCTGGTCGGGCATCCAAAATGGTGGGGGACAAGGACAAACTTCCTTGATTAAAATAATGGTGGCACATGCTCCATTGGCTTAGGCACTAATTGATTCTTCTTAAACATTGCTTAGGGTAACTTAAGCTTAATTTGTCCCACATTAAGTCCTAATTATACGCCTGATTTGAGCCATGAGGAAAGTGGGCCGAAAAATGGTGTTTTGGGCTTATGAAGTTGGGCTGGCAGTGCTGCCGCTGGGCTGCTGGGGCGCGGCACTGGGCCTGGGCGCGAGGGGCTGCTGGGCTGCGCGGGGACGTGCTGGGCTGGCGCGGGTAGCGGGCTGCGCGCGGGAAAAAGGGCTGCTCGCGTGTGGTGGTCTTGGGCCGAGTCCTAAGGCACTCCAAGGGTCCAAGAACACTTAGAATAATTTCCAAACTTTTGCCAAGGCTTTGGCACGGCTTGGACAATGCTTGGAGGCCTTGGGCGCGGCTCGAGGCGGGGGTGCGGGACTCGGCACGAGCGGCTCGGGTAAGGACTAGGGCTCGGTTAAAATGATCAATACTTATACTTTGATGTTATTATACACTTAGAAAAATATTCTAAGTATAAAAGTACCAATACTTGGCTATGCTCGGGATTTACCCGAAAGTTTACTCGGAACCAAACTAGGGTTCGGAGTCGATAAATTCTCGAATTGACTTGCTATTATATAATAACCCAAATTAATGGATTAATCTTAACTTATACTTGAGATAGAATTATTCAAAGAATAATTTATCATTTTTGAGCATTTAGCACAATAAATATAACTCGGGAATTTCTGAAAATTACGGATTTCACTTATAGTCGAGCAGTGAAACCGTTCTGAATATTATTACTGTTTTGGGGCGTTACAAATAGAGGTCTCTGGATCCAAACCTCTCCCATCACTTGCTTTTTAGCCAACGAAGAACGAGTTTTCTTGGTGGAATCTGTCAACGCCTTACCATTCGACAGTCCTTCATACTGTTGGCTCCACCTCACAAGTGAACACAAATCCCAAGGTAGATTTTACTCTATCGTTCACGTCTGATTAGAAATCATAATCTATTGT